CCAAAATGAATAACGATAATATGTTATGACTTATTTCTAAGATACAGATTATACTGAGGAAGTGATAAAATCAACCAAATTGAATCTTGAAGGACAAAGGCAGGTAAGAGGATTCTATGTAGAAGAAATTACATATGTCAGACTTTAAGATCTGAGACAGTATGACATGTGTGGGAACAAAAGTAGTCAGCTTTGGGGAAGTATGAGGCACAAAGAGCCCACATCAGTAAGATAGTGAAGTAAAGTAAACAGGGGCCAGGTCTTGAGCTGTAGACCATGTATTTAAATTGTACAGAAAAATAGCACTGAAAATGTAGTCTTCCCTAGTTGATATACATAAGATAGATATATATACCCACACACACACCTATATGTACACATACATACATATATCACTTTTTAATAAGTGACAAAGCCATATTCCACAGTATAAATAATAATAGCATACACTGGTAAGAAGCTGATTCTACAAACTGGCTTATGTTGGGGGTTATATCTGTTCTTTTTGTGCGCTAGCCACATGTATATGATTCATGGCTTATCTATTGTTGTGAATTACTTTTTTCTTTATTAGTGTCGATGTTTTAGAATGAACTACAGGATACTTTCTTAAACAGAAATGAAATACCATGTAGTATTTTCCGTTACATTAATTGCTCATATTTATCAATAGAAAAGAACATAAAGAGCAAATGAACTCATTTCTTGGCTTGATGGTTTGGCCATTCCAGGTAGATGTATTCTTTGATATCACTAAGGTGGCATTATGTCTTCAATTTGTCATTTCTGTATTAACTTCTTATTTAAAACAACAATATTTTAAATAAATCTTATTTAAAATGATAAAACTTCAAAATTAATAATATAGTAGTGACAATAATGTGGGAATATAATAACAGTACTAGAAACATTTAATTATCCTGTTGCTTCACTTGTAAAATATACTTTGTTTCACATGGATTCTTGGTTATTAAGAGAAATTTTATGAAAAAGGAACTGTAGGCTTCATGCAGTATTCCATATTAGATCATATTTTCACATGCAGAGCTTCTTCAAATGTACATATTGACTGAGAAGTCTTCCATGTGTTTATTATTTATAACATGATGTGGAAAGTAACATGGTCTTTATAGACTAATGAAGCTAAATCGGAAATTACACCATGTTACTATAATTTTTTTTCTTCTGAATTTTTTTAATTGTATGGCATTTTAATGTTTTCATTAAAATATTATATATCTCTATCCTATCCCACTTTACATGTAATTTACATTTCAAATCCAAGGCATTCTGGTGGTTTGTGGCGTTCGCTCGTTAATTTCTTGATAAATGGCTAAAGAGGCCAAGAAGTGCACTCGGTCCAACCTGTCTTCTGAAGATAGATGATCTCAAATAAATTCTCTTCCCAATCAGATTTTGATTTGTTGGGTGTTAAACCAATTCTTTCTAAGGACAATGTTTATAAGCCTTGTAATGAGACAGCCCTTTGAGACCTTACCTCTTTTTGCTTGTAATTTTGATGAATGAAACTCTAATTCATAAAGGATATTGTGATTGAAAAGCACCTTTAGATCTTGTACACTTTAATTTAGATAAATGTTTGGTGCAGTACCATAAAATCAGGACATTTACTGGGCTGCAAACTGATAACACTTCAACAGGAATGATAAGGTCAGTGTGTTGATGTGGATTCATTTTCTATATATCTTTTAAAAACATGATTGCTTTACTGCTTTAAAACCAGAAGGGATAAAATTGAAAGTTTGGTATACCTTTCAGAGCTCACCTTCCTTCCACTACATTTTTTATATTGGTTAATTTTTATTTTGGTAATGCAAGAGTAACATAAAGCTTTTTTTTAAAACTGACAAAGCAGATTACACATGATTATGATACAAGGAAAAACTTGCTTTATTAGGCTAACTCACATTTAAAAGGCTTTATTGACTTTCACGTTATGAACCAAGTTCCCTTTCGTGTAAATACATAGATTCTACAACTCACAAAGACTTTGGGATATCTTGGCAACTTCAGATTTAGAAATACCTGGAGGTGACTGTTATGTCTGAGTGTATTTATTTATTCAGTATTTATGAAGGCTTGCTCTGTGCCAGGCAGTGTGCTAAGTACTGAGAATACCCAAACAAAAGCATGTTTCCAGTCATCAAGAAGCTTCCAAGCTATCGTGGAGATAAACAGTTGCAATACCTAAAACTATAGTCACAGAATTTATGAGGTATGGAGGAAGCAGAAGGGGAAAGTCTTAAGTCTACCTTAAGAAATCACAAAAGGGAATGGGACAGGGTGGGAGGGTGGGTGGTAAACTTGAACTTCTGTTCAGCAAACGTTTGTGGCCCAGCTTCTTCTGAGTTACAGGCACTGAAATCACAGAAAATGGGGCTCTGGCCTAGTGGAGAGGACAGGCACATGACAGATAAGATCTGTGTAGCGCAGTTGAGTTGTGTATAAGCTGTGAAGGTGCAGAAAGATTGGTAGCAAAGGCATGTGAAGGAAGTTAATTTTGAAGGACACATAGGAATTAGCCAGAGAAAGGAGGAAGGAAGGAGCGTACCATATAAAGGAATACTGTTAGCTTCAGGTAAAGAGGGATGTGAGGCATGGCAAACCTTGGAAGCTATGAATGGTCCAATGTTGCTGAGGGGGAGAAAAGAGGATAAAGGACCTTGGTCAGCCATGCTAAGCAGCTTTGCTTTTGTCTTACAGCATAAGCCTTGCATGAGTGCTGTTGATGGGGAGGAGTTAAAAAACAATATAAAACAGAAAACATCCTTAGCTTCTTGGTGTTTTGTAATACTCTCTCTGGCAGAAGTATGGAAAGTGGTGTAAGTAAGGCAGCTAGTGAAGCCCCCTAGACCCAAACAACAATGCCCTGAATGAGGGCAGTGGCAGTCATCATGCAGGATGAATTCTTAGGTTTTGGGCTTTAGTAAGTGGGTTGATCAAAATAGGAGGAGGAGGAACAAGAGACAATTAGCTCAGAGAAATGTGCAGTTAATAATATTCAGGCAAAGATGTTTAGAAATATAGCTGTCAAGACCTTAAAAAAGACTTCTGGTTTATTAATTATTGGACTTGCCTCTTCTGTTCTCAAATGATATAAGCTCTGTGTTTCTCTGTGTATTTGCCAAGAAGCAAGCAACTTACAAAGATAACTGCCCTCGGAAGATTACTGTTATGCTGGCTTTATATCACCAAAAATAAAATAGAATTAAGATAAGATTCTGAAGCATTCCGTTTTCTATCCTTAATCTTTCATTCCAGAAATAAGAATTATCTATGGGCGAGTGGAAAAAAAATACACATATAATCCATTTAATTCCCCTCTCCTCCAATGCAGCATGGATTTGTAATAATATTATTGGTCTCTGAAGTATTTATTAAAATATATGTTTAACAATCTGCTACATAATACTGTTAAGCTATATATTAGCCATGTTCTCTAAATGCTGTTATCTAGGAGGAGCTAGGATGACAGACTCCACTCTCAGCCAATGACATTCTATAATGGCATTATGACATGACTGTATTCCTCAACATGTGTTTTTATTCCTATGTCCTTTCTTTGAGTCCATTTTTTAATGTTTTAGCTCACAAAATTGGCCTATAGTCACTGACAAAAAGAAGTATATAAACTGCATAGGAAAAAGGCTAACGCTGCTTTCCAGTGAAACTTTTAGGACAGCCAGATGTTCTTCCAAGAAAATGGTTCAGCAAACATCAATAGGTAGTAATGGACTATCGGAAGTCCAAGGGTATAGGCCTGGGAGAATTGACCAAAAGTATTATAAATTGTAACTAGTGAGTATTTTGGCCAGAGGCATGTCATGATTTGAGAGCAATTGCCTGTGTATACAACACTGTAACTTCTCCACGAAATATAATACAGCACCACCATATAGGACTGATTTATTAGGTTCTCATTTCCAGGCATATATCCACCACACCAGATGATGGAGATATTTTCCTAGCTAATGCTGCTCCTTGAAGCCTATATTGTAATACTACAGCTAAAACACAGTAAACTACGTTTTCTTCCAAATTGAATTTCTACTTCAAGTGACATGAAATATTATGTGTGTATGTGTGGTATGTGTGTATTTATGTATATGCATGCAAAAATGTACTTGCAATTCAGAGAATTTTAGATTCCTTGTCATCTGCCAAAGAAGATGCTTGAATGTAAATTTGGAAATATTTGTTAACCGTTCAAAATCTTTGTGAATCTTGAGGGATTCACATGCATTCGTTTCCAACTTGTACCTTGATTGACATGTTAATGCCAGCTCACGTTTTGCTACTTTTTTGGTGCTTATTTTTATGTGGTTTGATTTTGGCTTTCTGTATTATCTTATATATCAAAATAAGTTATATCATTTTGAAAAACCAGCATCTATTTCATTCATTGCTAAAGAAATAGCTATTGTGAAGTGGGGTTTCTGTCTTCATCATTCCTACCTCCATCTTTCTATAACTTTTCAGGGACAACTGTTTTTCCCCTCATATGCTTTCTTGTTTATCTCATATTTGCATTACCTACTTCCAAAAGTGATCTGATCAGTTGATTAGCTAATTCACACAAAAATACAAACATGTAAAACTATATAATTTTATGCATCAGAAACCTGCAACTGGGGTGGAGTGTAGATTTTGTTGTAGAAACTGCACTGATCTTAGAGTCTTAAGATATGGATCATAGAGTTCTTTCTCTGCTGCTAGCTAGCCAGGTCCCTCCACAATACATGTCGCCTTCTCAGCCTGTTTCTTCATCTGTGAGACAAGGGTAGGTAATCCAAGTGCCCTTGTACCATGACTCCTTTCTCACAGAAGGCCAGACGAGAAAAACCAGGTAAAAATGTTCTGTAATTATAAAGGAATATGTAAATGCAGCATATAACCACAATAAAGTAATCAAGTATTTGTAACACTATAAGCAAGAGCAATGACAGTGACCTAAATTACTATATTTCGGTTGTGAATAGGCACTGAAGAAGATGTGGTGAAGTCAAAGAAGACATTCAGAAGTCAAGCAATTGTGAACCAGAATGCAGAGACAGAACTGATGCTGGAAGGAGACGATGATGCAGTCAGTCTGCTACAAGAGAAAGAAATCGACAATCTTGCAGGTACATTTTTAACTTTGTTCTATTTATTATAATAAAGACACACAGAGTTACTGAATTTAAAATCTATGTCCTGGTGGATAAATGCATGCCAGTGGTGTCAGTTATGTGAATGTTAATGATTTACTTACTCTCACTCAAACGTGTATTTTACTGCAATGAGTGAGGAGCATTAGCGCTCTCTGTAATGATCAACCTTTTATATAGGAGAAATGTACAAAATATAAGTTGTAACTGCCTATATATCTGGGGTGGGGGACAGGATGATAGACTTGTTGACTTACGTGTATCTCTAACATGCTAACGGCCACAAGGAATAGCCCCTCAGCCAGGCGTCCATTGAATTCGCCATTTCCTCCCTGTTGTCACTCTCAGGAATGTCCCTCCCCCTCCTGTTTTGTCTTGGCCTCATGCTGCTAGTCCTCTGTCCCAAGGAGACATCCTTCCCCACCACCTCAGTGTTACCTTGTTCTGGTGCTGGGATAAGGTCAATTCTGGACGGCATCTGCAGTGACCAGATGGGCTATGGATGTCTTAGCATGTTAACCCATAATCCTCAAACCACTTTGAGAATCTGATAAAAGCAGATTGCTTCATGAAGACGCATATACAGTTTAGAACACAGTTACAGAGTGTTCACTAACCCCTGAAAACCAGTCCATGGAATCATATCCTCCATCTCAGGTTTAAAAAACTCAAAAAGTGACTGAGTCTCACCTCAGTTCTAAATTTTCAGCCTATGCAACGTTGGGGTGGCAGGTGGCAATAGAAAGGTGGACATATATTTATCATTCCATATATAAAATCGCACTTATGTTTCCAGGAGCATTCTGAAAATATCTGCCAGGGCTTTACAAAACCCTCCAGTGATATATTTCTTCTAGTTAGTGACTTCTCTTTTTTACCAAGGAGTTGTTACTGTTCATTATAAGTTGGTGATAGCACATTATTCTCCCTCTTCTAGACTAAGAAAATGTTTAATAAGGTTATTTTAATGCTAGAGCCTAGATATGTCTATGTGATTAACATTTTTGTATCATGAAAACTATTTTTCCATTTTGAAAGTATTCTTAAGACTGTGACTAAATGCTTGCCTCAATTTCTTAAGTAAGTGTTCAGGTTTTGGTTTTGCCATTTTTGTCGTTTGTTTGTTTTAGTAGCTTAGAGGTTTTTTTACCTAAGGCCATTTGGAAATTTAAGCAAATGAGGCTCACTGATTCTGTTTGCCTACAGGTGTGTTTTCTCCCCCCCACTCATTCTTGATCTTAAAGAACATAGAAAATTCACAGATGATATTTCTAACCTTTTTAGAAGATGTGTCATCTTTCCTCATTCACATATACTGGCAGATATGTTTAATAATTGTACAATTTAGTTGAGACTCCCTGGTCCTTTGTTCCCACTGAAGATAATTAATTAGTGGATACAAATTTGCCTAGTCCCTTGAATTTTTTTTAATAAGACTGCCCAGTAGTGCCAGTGGAACAATCCAACACAGACTAATAACCCCTTTCTATTTCTCTTCTTTAATGGTACCTAATTATGAATATTAATTTATATTAATAAGCAAAAGTCTCCCTCTAAATTTATTATGTTCAAACAGCTAAAGAATAGAGAAAATATGCTTGCAATCAATTATTTCAAAATCAAATCATGTGGTTCCTGACCAATTCACTTCATCAAAAACTCCTCTAACTTCTGTCTTTTAACAGATTTTTCATTGAGCACATCTGCTCCTATTTATATCCACCTGGTCCTAACTCAGACTCTTCTAGCGAGATCCTCGCGTCTGAAAAATCTCACAAATGTCCTAAAACATTGATTCCCTGCCTACTCTGTAGTGTTCATTTTTTAAAAACCAGCCCATAGATGTACTGTGAACCTTGAATGCACTGGAAGAGACGTAGGGGATGGATGTTTTATGAAGGACCACAGAAATTGTCTGCATAATTTATAGTAACATATAGATTCATCTTGTAAATATTGAAGCCAGTTAATTAATCTACACTGACATAATAGTGATAATGTTACTAAAATCTATTTTTAGAAGCTAATTACAAGCCAGAATTCTTAGGTTTAAGAAGTCAGCTGTTGATAAAATTACAGGTAACCTAAATACATACCTTTTTTTGTTGTTGCTGCCCTAAGAAATTAATTGTCCAGATTGTGGTTATCTCTGTTCCAGAAACTAAAATTTACTAAATTATGGTGTCTTTCTTATTCATAACTTATCTAAGAAGCCTGGTAGAGCTGTACTGCCTAAACAGAGTGTCACCATCACAGCAGACCTAAGTTCAAATTAAAATCTAGGTGATCCTAAGACCTATTTACAATATTAATATTGTCTCTTTTTTTGCTGTCACAGAAATATTACATAAAATAAGTCCCTTTTTCAATCTCTAAGATGAAAATTACAGGTTTTTCTTTTCACAACTTAACTTAATGATATGGCCTACATATTATTAGTATAAGAAATGTGCCTTCAAGTATATAAATGTAATCAGAGTTCTTAGATTTTAGAGTGTATAAAAAAGAATATACCATTTTTAGAATAGTAATGTTAAAACTAAACACACTGACTAGAATACTATATTTTCCTGTTCTTACAAAACACTCTTTTGCTGACATAGGCACACAGATGAGATCATATATTATGCTTTGTCAATATACAGTATTACTTAATAATCAAGTTAAACTCAAACAGAAAAAGGTATGCTAGTTAATATAGAAAACTAAGGAAAAGTACTTATTTAAGATTAATTCTGGTTTGGGTTTTAAAGTATAGGGTCAATTTCTGCTTCTAAAAGGAAGCAAAAAAGAAAAAAGACTAGCTAGCCTGTCTTACCAGGACCCAGACAGTGTTCAGAGGGCTTTGTGTGCGGTAACCCACTTAATCTTTACAACAACCCCATAAGGTAGATAATACTGTTACCACCAATTTTAGAAATGATGCAGAGGTCAGGAAATTAAGCAATTTGCACGAGGTTGAAAAGTATATAAAATAATATATTTCTTTAAAAATATGCATATGTGGTTTGAACGAAAATATACCAAATAGTATATTTAAATATGTGTGGGATTGTGTATGTGTATGTATATTTACTTTAAGACTCTTACAAAATGATGTAAAAATGAGATCTTCCATTTGTAACTCAATTTTTACACTAGTTTCATTATATTACAAGTTTATGAATATGCATAATTTTACTTTTATTTAGTCTATGGGTGGCCCAAAATCAATCTGGTACGTTTAAAAAATCTGATGACTAGAATGCTTTTGGCACAATTTTACATAAATATTGATCTTTTCTCATGTTTTCTCCATACTGTTTGACGTTTTCTAGTTTGATTTAAGATAAAGTGTTCCACAAAATTCTGTAGCTTTAAATGTCATATAATTTTCTGTTTCACTTTTAGTTCTCTTTCTTCCCAAGCTGTTCATCTCAAGAGGCAAGTTAAATGTATGTGACTACTAATTATTCAAGTTATTATGTATTGTACAAATGGCTAATTTGACTATAATATAGAAGTATACCAATCAATAAAGCAATTATTTTGCTAATAACACCTAACTTAATTTCCCTTAATTGCTTTTTTAGTCTGTAGTGATTCACCCCAGTGAATCAGCACCTAAGATTCCAGATTTCAATTTACTAATTACATTTTTACTGAAAACATTGAGATTAATTGGTATAACTCAATGGATTTTTATCTAAAATCTTGATTATTTGTTTTAATTTGAAACTTAACAAATAGTTCCTTAAATAATAATTGTGTGACTTAAAATTAAGATTAACTCAAATTTATAAAAATTGACAAGTGAAGGATTTAATTAAACCAACAGAAAGAACTGTGTTCCACAAATGAAATGTATTATATGTCTTTTAGAGTGAGTCTGTCACATTTGATTAGTGATTAAAAATATATTTTACATAATAGAGTTGGAATCTATATAGATTTCTTTCTTTTAAAAGATGTGGGGTACAATTCAGGATTAGGTATACAAATAAATGGTCATTGTACAGGTAAAGTTTGGCCTCACTTCACCTGGTTTGAGATCAGGTACCCTTACTGATGAAAAGTGGCCCTTCCCACCCTGGGCAGTTTCCCATTACTGCCAGCCCCTTTCTTACAGCATTATGATAATTGTTCAGCATCGACTTATGCGTGAGAACATGTGGTACTCAGTTCTTTGTTTCTGTGATAGATCACTGAGTATTACAGACTCTAAATCCATCTAAGTTGCTGTAAAGTTCATAATTTTGTCCTTCTTTATTGCTGAATAATATTTTATCGAGGATATGCACCACATTTTTGTATCCAGTCTACTTTCGATGGGCAGCATGGTTGGTTCCTTGTCTTTGCCACTGTGAATAGTGCTGCAGTAAACATGCGTGCACAAGTATCTTTTTTGCAGAATGATTTGAGTTCCTCCAGATATATTCCCAGGAGGAGGATTGCTGGGTCGTATGGAAGGTCAATTTTTAGATCTTTTAGGAATCGCCACACTGTTTTCCACAGAGGTTGTACTAGTTTACACTCCCACCAACAGTGTAGAAGTGTTCCCTCTTCCCCAGCATCTGTTGTTTTTTGAGTTATTGAGGATGGTCATCCTGACTGGAGTTAGGTGGCATCTTGGTGTGATTCCAGTTTGCATTTCTTTGATGACTAGAGAGGCTGAGCATTTGTTCATGTATCTGCTGGATGTTCATTTGTCTTCTTTTGAGAAGTGTGTATTCATATCCTTTGCCCACTTTTTAACAGGGCTGTTTGGCTTTTTTTTTTTTGTTGGCACGTTTGAGTTCCTTGTAGATTCCAGATATTAGGTCCTTGTCAGACATACAGTTGGCAAATATTTTTTCCCATTCTGTGGGCTGTCTCCCTGCTTTCTTGATGATTTCTTTGGTTTGCAGAAGCTTTTCAGTTTGAGGTCCTACTTGTCTATCCTATCTCTTGGCATGAACATTGGGGTTTTGATCAGAAATTGGTTGCCAGTGCCAATT